AGTAACATTGATCAAAAATGGATGAATAATATACAATTTTTCAATAAATATTTTTTGTATAAAAACTACGAAAAATTGATATGAAGAGACGACACTTTGATCTAGAAATGATTATTTGGCCGATCAGGACTAACAACGAATTTTCAGACTAATTACTAATATATCTCTTTAATTTTGAATTGCTTGCCTTGACAGTCACTAAAACAACATTCTTTTTACCTACTAAAAGAAGATGAGTAAAAATAGTGAAAAGTTACGATGATTGGAATAGAAACTTTTAAATATTAAAGAATCACAATGATTCATAAGAGTTACAACTTTTTGATTGTGTGTTTGTTTTGTAAATATAATATATTATTTTTTCACCGTTAAATTTTAAAACTATAATTTTATTCCTAAAATTAGAATCACATTAGAAGTTTTTAAGCTCAAAAGGAGATTTTTGTATATTCGGTAATTTTACACAGTCTTGTTTACAGCAAATAGAAAATAAAAGATATTTCGTAGTACGATCTTTTCTAGTGCTTTCAGCAAGTCATACTTAAGCATTACAATCTCTACATGACCACGCCTCATTAATTTTTTTTCAGTCTTTTTATAATCTTTATTCTTTGCCTGACAAATTTTTTATTATATTAAAGATGTTAAAAGTAATTGATTATATAATAAATGTATAAATACCTTTGATATTTTTTTTCTTCTGTAAGTTGACAATATTTTCGCTTTCTTGAACCTATTATACCATAAAATAAATTTTAATGAAAAAACTATAGTAAATTATTTTTTGATATAAATTAGCGACAAAACATAATTTTTACAAATCATTAGAGGATAAATCATTGTAACTTTCTCTACCAATTGCTTCAGATATTTCAAAGTTCATTAGCATATTCACACATTCTGAAATGACATTACAAAAATATTATCATTAAATTTAAAATTAATAATTACATTATATGATATTAAAATTAAAGGTAAAGGTGTAAATAACCTGCTTCATTTATTTTTAATGGACATCCTAAAACAAAACAAAACCATGTAATAAGATTATTATAATATATATATATATATAATTAAAATTGATATAAATCTATATATAATAGCAAAATAACTTTTTGAGAACTACTGATGTCATCATTTTTGTAGGAACAAAAAATAACAAATCTAACTGTTGAGATTATTTTCATTTGAAAGTTTAATGGTTATGATGTGAGTGGTATTGATTTTGCTCGCAAGGTAAACCTTATCGAGCTACTAGGACTGACATAATATCGGGACCTAGCGGTTCTACCGGTCCAGAGAACGTAGAACTAATAAATATATGTGATTGCTGACATCATCTATTAATAGTTAAAAGATGTAAATTTAATTTAAAAGGTTATTATTCCTTTATTATTATTAAAAGGTGAAGATTATATTTGTTTTATTTACCAAACAGACATATACTTAAAACATTGAGACTTTAAGAACCATTGTGATTTTTTATTTCGATTGCTAAAAACACATCAATCTAATGGTTATTAATTTTTGTTTTATATTTAGTGGTAAAGATTAGATTTATTATATTTATCAAACATATACATATTAACGAACTGTTGCAACAACTTAAATGAACTTTTGCAACCATTAATATGAATCATTGCTACTATTAGGTTTATAGTTACAGCTTTCGGTGACTAACCATTGTAATTATTGAATTTATGGTTATAATATTTGGTGACTAACCATTGCAATAATTAATGATCAACCATTGCAACCTGATCAACCATTGTAATCTTTTGAAGCGACTTTGTTCATTATAAAATTCTGGCATTAGTATATTTTTATTTTCATTATTTTCGTTTTCAAATTCTTTACGCATTATAAAACTATTTGATTTAGTTTTTTGAACACCTGACATCTTCTGTTATGTACAAATAATCAAAGTAAAAAAAATTGCCATAGAAAACTTTTAACCATTTAATAATATTTTTATTTTAAAAGATCGTAATAAATGAGCAACATTGAAATAACAATGGATAAACAATATAAAATTTTCTAATATATTTGCTTTGTAGGAAACTACTGAAATGGATACTGAAGACAGGACACTTTGATTGAAAATAATTATTTGGCACATGACAAACAGCAAGTTTTAAGATCAACTGCTAATATATCTCTTTAAATTTGAATTGCTTGTTGTGACAGTTACATAAACAACTCAAAGTCTTCTTGCTAAAAGATAGTTGAGTAAAATAATGGGTTATATATAGACTTCAGAGTGAAAAGTTACAATAATTCACAAGAGTTACAACTTTCTGATTTTGTGTCTGTTCAATAAATCAAAAATATTATCTTTACTGTTCAATTTTAATCTTTAAAAAATATTTTGACCCTTATCAAGTCTTGAGTTACATGAAATCCCTTGTAGGATAAGGCAACCAAAAACCTCTCTTGTTCTAGGTTAAGATACAAGAGACACACTAAAGTTATATGTGTTTTTCTAAAAATCTTTTATGATCTTTTGGAATAGTGAAACTCTCTCTTTCTTTCTTTCTTATTTTTTCTGTTTCTGTTTGTTGTTGTGATTTTGGCAATGCCCACAACTCCTTTTATAGGAAACCAAAAGCCACTTCAAAAAATTACAATGATTGATCAGGTTGCAATGGTTGATCATCAATTGTTGCAATGGTTAGTCACCGAATACTGTAATCATAAACCTAACAATTGCAATGGTTAGTCACTGAAAATTGTAACTATAAACCTAATAGTAGCAATGATTTATTTAAATGGTTGCAAATGTTTATTTAATTTGTTGCAACAGTTAGTCAATATGTGTATGTTCAGTAAATATAATAAATATAATATTTACCGTTCAATCATAAAACAAAGATTATTAACCATTAGTTAATGTGTTTTTTAGTAATCGAAACGAAAAATCACAATGGTTCGTAAAGTGATACAATCCTCATTGCCTATACACCAGGATTTCATAAAGAGAGAAACCTTGGAGCTAAAGAGGATGGAGCTAAGCTTGAAGCTGAGAAGAAAGGAGGACTTGTAGCTGAGCTGAGAGGAGCTAAGGACCTTATAACAAAACGACATCATTCTTTAAGGCCAGGAGCACGCATTAACCAAGCTAAACCAAGTCAGAATCAATTCAGAATCAAAGAAATCAGCCTTAAACCAAAGAAGATACCAAAGGAGCCGTTTAAGGAAAGTTCGTATATATGTTATACTAACATATTATTTGACCCACTTTCATCATCTACTGAAGCTAAGGAGTTCCACAAACCGTCCTTGGTTCAATTCAAGCCAACATTTAAGCAAGAAGATCCATTCAATCCGCCAAAACCACTAAACCAGCCAAGATATGCATCTGCCGAGTCATATAAGGAAACTATGAATATATGTCTAGCTAAGACATTATATTCGACCCTCTCTACGTCCACTGAAGCTTACACAAGCCCTACCACACCAGAACAAGTCATCAGCCGTCCTCTTTTATCAGAAGTCAAAGGAGAATACCCCAAAGAAGAGCTTTCCTTAAAAGAAGATCATCATTCATATCAAAGGAGAACTAAGGATCAAGACACATCAATATCTTTCAATCTCAGCCATCCATCAGTCTTATAAGATTCATCACACTTAAGACGAGCCAAAGATCATTCCCTAATCCCACATTCAGTGCCAAAGTCAAGACCAAGCACATTAAAGCCTAATGGCTAGGAAAATGGAGCCAAGAACAAATTCCATATTTCATACTTTCTTTTACTTTAGTGATCGTTTATTTCATACTTTCTGGGCAATATAAAAGCTCATCTACATTGTACTTTCATTTCACCAAATTATTAATCAAAAAAAATCTGTTTTGTTTCAAAGAAGTGTCTCTTTGTTTACAATATTGTTCCTGCTTTTTATTAAGTTTTTTTTGAGTGATTCAAAGAGCTTGTGAGAAGTGTAGAATTTATTAACTCTTGTGAGGATTAGCCCTTGAGTTAGTAGAGTCTAACCTTTGGAGTTTGTGGTCATCAAGCTTCAATCTGACTTTCAATCATCCGAGTCTTCATTTCATCCCCTTAAACTAGAAGCAAAGATTCAAAGAAGCTTTACTTGAACCACATTTCAAGTATTGTATCATAAAGTCACAATGTTTTAAATATATGTTTGTTTGGTAAATAAAACAAATATAATATTCGTTGTTCAATAATAATAAAGGAATAATAACCATTAGATTAAATCTACATCTTTTTAATTATTAAAAGATGATGTCAGCAGTCACATCCTAACTATTAAATTTTTCAAATCAAACTAATCAGAATAATCTCAACTATTAGATTTGTTATTTTTTTCTTAAAAAAAATAATGACATCAGTAGTTTTCAAAAGGTTATTTTGTTATTATATATAGATTAAAAGTTCTTATATATATATATATATATATATGTGTGTGTTAACAAGATGGTAATGAATTGTTGGGGGCTTAAAACAAAAGTTATCAACATTACCTGAGAAGAATATGTATCCATAGAAACTAAGCGAGAAGCGAAGTTTATCAACGGGAGCTTAGACTCCAACAGATTGGGTGAAATGCAATTTCGACAGTAGATGGTTGGATTATAAAGAACGATTAGGGAACATTTCATTTTTTTATTCTGTAAAAATGTTTGTTTAATTGTAATACTTTTTGATATAAAAATGTATGTTTTTATCTTAGAATCCCAAATTTAAACACTTTAAAATTGAATTCCGTTATACGAGTCAAACACTTGCATAACCAATAAATTACAATAAACAGTTAAAAATGCGACAGTGGTGAAACGATTCCACCATTCGCTATGTTTCAATTCTAAAACTAACAAAGTTACACAAAAATCCACCCACAGGAAAAATAAATAAAATCATAATTACTGTGTAGACCAAAAATTGAATAGAGATAATGTGAAATCAAGAAAGTGAATGATGAGAATAACGTACAATTCCAGAAAACGAAAACATAAATCGAGTCTTCTCAATCCATGATCATATATAGTAGTAACCTCGAATATGGATGGATAACATGAACTCTAGTGGATTTGGATTCAAGAGACGAATCTTGCAGATCACGTAATCTTGTTTCCACTTACTCGCAAGCCTATACTCTTCCATCACCCAAACCCTCTTATCTCTTACTCGCCTCTTCTCCTTTTCCCAGAACTTGAAAACCGATTTCGGTTCTTCCTTTTCACAGAACTTGAAAACCTTCTTGAACCCTAGAATCTCCTTGTTCTTCTCCGACTTGATCAGTTTATCACGACCCATCACTCTCCAGCAACCGGATTCACATCCATCGGTTTTACCAGAATTCTCTGTCCGGTTAACGAACAAGTATCTTCCGTCGTGTAGGATCAAAGGCTCTCGAGTGTTGAAATGCGTCGATGGATTCACGCAGTACACGTCTTCGCTACGGAGAAAGCTGCTTGGCCAATTGTTTCTGTTATCGATCATCATCTTCAGATAATAACCGACGATTTCATCCACTGGTGGATAAACCATCGTCATTCTTCTCTTCCGCAGGTATGCAATGAAACTCAGATCTCGTGGAAGTAGAAGAATTGCAGATAATGGCGATGATGGAGTGAGAGAAACAAGAAACGCAAGAAACAAATGAGAAGGAAGATGTAAAATTAAGAAGGAGATAGTGTTTCTTGGGAAAGAAGTTATATCAATATAGACGCCTTTTTAGTTCGTTGGTACTGTATCAAATTCTTATATTGACAGATTTGCCCTTACATTTGTAAACTAACTTCGAAATTATAAATTTCTTAACTTATATGTTGAGGTTGAATTATCCACCAACTCACAAAGTACACTCGTTGATTACTCGATCCAAACACTCAAATCTCACGATACGAACCACGAATTAATAATCAAAACAGAAAGCACACCAAATTAACGGGTTCATATTATTTGGTGTGAAGATCCAAAAACTTGGCTTAATCCTCTAAAGTTATCCACTATAACCTTGAGTCAGTTAAAATAAATTCCACACTCTCTCCCTGCTACCGAAATCAAGAAGGAAGTTTTGTGAAGAAACCAAAATTACTGTATACGATAAGCCGATCGATGATCACAATAATTAATAACACTTTTTTTCTTTCAAAGTGGAGTCCACGGCTGTAGAAAAAATGAAATTAAACTGAAGTCCAATTTTTATGGAAATAAGAAATTAAAAAAAAAGTTATAAAATCTTTCTATAACGAAAACAGGAGTGTAAAACATTAACACTAATGTGGCGTAATTAAGCGGTAAGCCTGACGATATATAGTGTTATCTGGTGATGAGTCTCGTCAAAAGGAGGGATACTGTAGAATTCAAACCATGGAACCTCAGTACTTATGAGGGATGATAATAAAGATTATTAAAGAGTCCGTGGAGGTCTCGGGACTAATCTATAAGACTATAACAGTTTTTCATCACGATTATAACAAGTTAAAAAGTTAGTTTAAAATATAAATACGAATGTTAGGTCAAGAAAAAGGCACCCATCCAGCTGGCTTACTAATTCCTCCCTTTTCGGTTAATTATTTAAGTACAAATCATTAATATCGTATTATTGTATTATCTTTAACTTTAAAAATGTTTAAAACTTTTTACACAATTTTTTGTCTATCTGATAATATTAAAACTTCAAAAGATATAGGATAGAATACTTGAAAAAATACATAGAAGAATTTTTACTGTTTCCAGAGATTTTACAAAATAATAGAAATCCTAAAAACAAAAACCCGAAACACCAGTCTCGAGCACTAGTATTTGATCATCTTCGTATCTTTATGGGAAGACTCCTTATGAGATTATACATTCTCGAGCACCAGTATTTGATCAGTTTTCAATCCATCAATGGTTCTTCATGGGAAGACTCCTTATGAGATTATACATTCTCGAGCACCAGTATTTGATCATCTTCGTATCTTTGGATGTCTTTGTTATGTGCATAATCAAAAACATTGTGGAGATAAATTTGCAAGCCGTAGCCGATAATGCATTTTTGTTGGATATCCGTTTTCTCAAAAAGGTTGGCGCGTATTTGACATGGAGACTCGTAAATTCTTTGTGTCTCGTGACGTGGTATTTTGTGAGAATGAATTTCCCTACCAAGATTCACTACATGCTTCTCCTTCGCTTGTCTCTTCTCCTCTTGTGGAGTTTGTCGACGATGATGATGATATTGTTCCGCAGCCTACAGCTTCTCCGTCGCCAGATTATGATCAGATTGTGCTTCCATCTCCTGTTCCTACGGCAACTGATCTCAGTGTACCTCCGAGTCCTATTGTTGCTGTGCAGAGTTCGATTGATGTTGAGTCTGAACTTGGTAAAGGGAAACGTGAGAAAACTATTTCTACTCGTCTTAAACACTTCGTCACTTATACCATTAGTGTGGAATCTCCTCATGATGACATATTATCTTCTTCAAGTCTGTATCTGATTGATCAATATGTTGATTGTCATCGTTTTTCAGAGACTCATCGTGCCTTCTTAGCAGCACTTGAAGAAGCTTGCGAACTGACTTCGTTTGCTGCTGCAATGAAAGATCTTCGATGGCATCTTGCTATGAAACGTGAGATTGAAGCTTTAGAAGCAAATCACACATGGGATCTCGAAATGTTGCCTCGTGGTAAGAAGGCTATTGGGAGCAAGTGGGTCTTTAAAATAAAATATCGTTCTGATGGTTCTCTTGAGCGATTCAAGGCTCGATTAGTGGCATTGGGAAATTGACAAATTGAGGGACATGATTATAAGGAGACATTTGCACCAGTTGTGAAAATGGGTACGATGCATATTCTTCTCCAAGTTGCAGCTGCTCGTAATTGGGAACTTCATCAAATGGATGTTCATAATGCATTTCTACATGGTGATCTCATTGAAGAAGTTTACATGCTACCTCAGCCGGGTTTTGTTGCCTTAAAACAACAAAACCCGCGTTGTTGGTTTGCTAAGTTGGTTTGCTAAGTTAAGATCTGCACTACGAACATACGGCTTCTCTCAAGCTCGTTCTGATTATTCGCTTTTCTCATATGTTAAGAACGGTGTCCATCTACATGTTCTTGTCTATGTAGACGATCTAGTTATCTCTGGTAATTCCGGACCTGCGATTTCAGCATTTAAGACTTATTTGAGTTCTTGCTTTCATATGAAAGACTTGGGTGTCCTCAAGTACTTTATTGGGATTGAAGTTGCTCGTAGTTCCTCATGAATATACTTGTGCCTGAGGAAGTATACACTTGATATCATTACCGAAGCTGGTCTACTTGGTGCGAAACCGGTTAGTTTTCCGCTTGATCAGAATCACAAGTTGACGCTTGCTTCTGATGCTCTACTTACCAATCCTGAATGTTATCGGTGTTTAGTTGGACGTTTAATTTATCTGGCAGTGACACGGCCCGATCTCACCTATAGTGTTCACATTCTTTCACAGTTTATGCATGCGCCTAGACGGACGCATCGGAATGCTGCTCTTCGGGTGATTCGTTGTCTTAAAGGAAATCCTGGTCAAGGAATTCTTCTTAGCTCAGATTGTGATCATCATGTTACTGCTTGGCTCAATATATACCTCCGCTGTTTGGCTCAATAATACACATAAAACCTTTTCCATACTTTGTTTTCTGACAGATGCAAGTGAGGAAAACCTTAAGGTATTAATCACAATAATTCCTTTCTGTTTCGATAGCCAGATATTTAGCTTGCAGCGAGTACAATATGTGTGGATTTTATGTTATTTTTATTGACATATGGTTACTCAATGATTTTGTGTACAGATTACATTCAAGGTTAAGGTGTGTGGGACAATATCTCTTACAAAGTTTGGTAGCTCCTCATATACTAAAAGAAGGAGACAGTCATTTTGTTGTGGTACATGGAAACTAATGGCCAATGAAGAAAAGTTTATTTTCTGTTATTCGATGTTAAGTGTACTATTTATTTTTGAGAATTTATCAAACGGTTGAGCTATAAATTGCAGTTTATAAATATGATAAATAGTACGATTTTATATGCTCATTAATTGACGTCCACCTATATTCTGATTATCAGTGCATCAGGAAAAGTACCATCACCTGGACATGCTATATATTTTGCTTCAAAATATGGTACAAGGCTACTTCCACAGCTTATTTCCTGCAGTGCGGGTCTATACCTAGTTTTTATTTAAAACAAAAATGAAAAGTGTCCAACTTTCTATAATTTCATATATCTTAATTGATATTTCTTCAAAAAAGATATATTAGGTATACATGTGAGATTTTTCACAAAATTGTATAATTCAAACAAATAATATCACCATTTTTTTTAAATGAATTACTTTCAAGTAATTTTAAAAGAGGATTATTTTTTGTGAATTTTAGTTTGTTTTACCAAATTTGTATCTAGATAAGTATGTGTAAAAACTCAAGTTCGTCTTATAGAGATCTTTTATTAGAATGAGCTGGAGCTTGATAGAATACATGGTGGTTTAGGTCATCGGAATAAGAATGCCGACCTAAACTTTTTATGAAATAGAATCGAGAACTAGAACAATGAGATTTTCTTTTTTTATCCTAGGTCTCGAGAGAGGATTTTTGGATCATCTGAAAAGACAAAGACTTCCCATATTTATAGCCGATCAGGTCGGTCTTCTATGTCCAATTGAAATAGGAAAGTCTCTTTGCCGACCAGACTAAACTTCTATTTTTTCCGGGTTGTTTGATAAATGGAAGATTTCCATTTATTTCGCCGACCTGAACCTTGCAAGATGGGCCGACCAGAAATCATATCGGGCTTGTAGAGATGGTACGAATCTCATCTCTAACAGTAAGTCCCCCCCCCCAGTTCGGCAAGTGAGGATACGTTACTTGACGAATTTCAAGAGGTGTTGCTCATATGGATTCTGGTCGGCTGACAAAAGAGTTAGAATATAAAATGTAATTAGAAAAAGGCAATCTTACTTGGAGTTCAGATCGGCACGATGGTGCGAGTCAGGCAATGATTCAGGGTGCGAAAAGTTCCCGTCAAAAATATTGTAGATTATGTCTAGGTCTGCGCATGCAACACTAGGTTTGGCACATGTCAAACGCTAGGAGGAGGGCGAAGAGACCGATTAAAATAAAATGAGAAGAAATCTGAAAAGTCGCCGAGCTCATGATGACTCTCGATAACCATCCAGACTTCTGTATAAATAAGAGGGGTTCGGCCACGAAATTTTCACTTCTGAATTTTTAGCGAAACTCTGTCAAATTCAGGTTTGCTCTCTTCTCTTTCTTCTTTGTTTTTCATTTAATTTCGTTTAGATATCTTTGATTAGACCTCCGCCGTATTTCGTTCGATCTCCGCCGCCAATTTCCACGGTTAATCGTCAAAGTCCGATCAGAAAATGAGCAAAAGTGTGAAGATCAGAGAAGGCCGATCTGAATCAGAGAAGAACAGGTCAGCCCAAGCGAAAGCCGATGAGATCGGCATCTCCTTAGGGGAATTTTTAGAGATGTCTCAGGCCGATCGAAAGGGAAGCAGATCGAAAGGGAAGCAGA